TTAGCTACTTTTTTCCAAACCATGATTTTTAATCAAAAAGTGATTGTACAAAAAATTATTGGATCCCCAGATTATGGTTTTACCTTTCAAATCATAGCTTTTGCTTATTACCAAACACCCCCTAAAACTGATTTATTGTACAGTCCAGTTTTGTTTGTTACGTGGCATTGCCAGTGCCACGATGATGATTTTGTGGGGTTCTTGGGGTGAGGACGCGAGCTGAGCTGTGGAGTCACTTTCAGTGGGTTTGAACAGTTTTTGTTTTTAAAAAATTTTTTTGGGGTCAACAATTGGTCTGAAGTCTGCACTCAGTTTGAGGGATTCCGATCGTATCAATATACGCGTCAGCGACTTAACGTGCACCCCGGTACACAGGATCACGGACAAACCGTTTCATCTCCGTATCAGTAATACTCCCTCCGTTCCTTATTATAAGAAACATTTGGTGCTTATAGCATGTTCCTAAATATAAGAGACACTTAAAAGTTGTATTTACTTTTTTGTGTTTATTTCCTATTTTACCCATATTTATTGTCTCCAACTCACACTCTCTATCCTTCCCACTTCTCTTTCTTTTAAGAATTTACTATTGTTCTCTCTCATGCTCTCTCTCCTTATTAATGAGGGTATTTTTGAAAAAAAAATTATACTTTTTACCCATTCATTGTTCTTAATTAATTTTAACTATTTTTTTTATCAACGTAATTCGGTTATTCGTCTCTTATAATAAGGAACAGAGGGAGTATTTACTTTAGCATTCACTTAAAACCAAAAAAAAAAAAACCAAAAAAAACTTTTGCAGCATTATTTTGACCAAGGATCCCGTCAATGTCTTCTTCCCCCACATGGATAACACGCGGAGGGTATCGGCCTTCTGGCTCTTGTCTTTCTCTCGTGAACATCATCAGCCAGAATTTCATGTGACATTTTATGAGTTTTTGAAGCATTTTTAACCCCCTAAATTTAAGATACATATAAAGTTCATCAATGCCGCTATTTTTTTTTTTTTTAACCAGCATCAATGCCGCCATTAGTATCATCTTTCACCTATGAATACAACATGTCTTGTAAATAAGATTAATATAAACGATTTTTCACATAGCACAGTTTTTTTCCCCAAAATATCCTTACAATTAAGTGTGTTGGTTAGAATTATTATTGTTAAAAGAACTATCTTGAAAAGCAATATATAAATATGAGAGACAAAATGGATTGGGGTCTTATATTTAGGATCAAAATAAAAATCAAACGAGATCTTATATTAAGAATCGAAAGTATTATTTAATTAAGGCTCTGCACACCAATAACAATGACCAGGATAGGATATTAAATTTTTTTTTTCGCTTTCTAAATAATTAAATGAATATTAACTATGCAGTTGATTAAGCACATATTACAAACATATATACTTCCGGAGCATTAAGCTTCCAAACTCAGCTAATTTAATTTCTTGTTTGCCCTGATTTTTTTTTTTTGGGGAAAAAATTAAATGTAGGATTACTTGAGGGAAAACCGAAGAGGTGCGACGTGGACCCATCTTTAACCATGAAAGCACACCACGTTGGTTTTAACTTTTCAAGAAAACACGCCACGTGGGTCATAACCTGAATCAAAATCTTAATACATGTCGTTCCCGCATGTTGGTCATTCCAAGTGCTGCTGCCTGTTGAAATCAGAATCCGGAACATCGTAAAAGGAAGAGTAGCAATATTTTCCCGGCAGATTAAACTTAACGATGACAGAAGAAGGAGCAGATGGAAGGTGGAGAAGAAGCCACGAGGTGGTACACCCGGGGGGTGAGGTTTTCCTTGTCCGTTTGCGCGTCTGTTACCGCGCCACACACAATCATCCAAACAGTAGTTCCATGTGACAAAAAGGTCCAAACAGTGAGAGTAGCACGGCACAGGAGTTGTCGGTCCTCCGTTAATTCCTTCACTTGAAGGGACCCACTCCTCCGTCCCTCATCAGCGACACGCTGGCTCACCGTCCTTTTAATCTTGACGCCAACGCTAAAGCGTAAAAATTTAAAAAAGTACTAGTGGACAAAACAGGCATGTTCACATCTAATGCGCCCAAAAGGATGGTAAAGTACATTTGTTCTGGCTCTCTAGCTCCTCCCTTGTGAACACACGCTTCTGGGTTCTGCCTATCACTTCACCTCAATAATTGAGCCAGTCATACGTGTGTTACCTCGCCAGGCTCCAGTTTCGAAGCCTAAAATTCCGTTGCGGATCATGTCAAAAATAGAAAGTGCATCGCCACTTAATAAGTGTTAAAAAGTCGAGGCATCCGAAATCCAAATGAGAGCACATTGGCCCACCAGGCCTGCTTCTTTCCACGGGATCATCCCAAGGGGATCTTTGACTAACCTTATCCTTAATTTTCAACGTTAAACGATTCGCGCGGATCTTTCTTCCCCCACAGTCTCTGTTTCGTGCCACATCCTTGTCTGGTACTGCCTTTGATGAGAAAGATGCAATCTCGGGTTTGCTTTATAGCTTTGTTTTGGTCATTCGCAGTCACTGCAGCATCTCAAAAGAAATGCGCTTTAACTTGAAAAGAACTTCAAGAGGGCGTGATTTTCATACGGACGTGCCAATGTATTTCTTGTCAAGACCTCACATCATGATTGCCCAACACACTCCCCAACATCGCTATCAGAACCCAACACTTGTGAAGCATACGCACCATTTGACAATAACGCCGCAAACCCCTTCCCCCATCCTGGGTTTTTAATGTTTAACTCGCTAGAATTCTATACGACGAGATTAACATCTATCTTCATATGCCATGTAAAAACCTGGTAACAAATGATATGTGTGAATTTTCAGAAGTGGTTTATTTTCGCCACTTCATGCAACACACACAACTTGCGCTCAGAGCCAGAGAAGCGATATAAATTTATACAGTATGATAAGAGTTGTCGTACATTAATAGTTAGAATGAGAGGCTGCTTGATGCAATTTGTTGTCAGCTTATTAATTACTGAAAAAACAGAGACGTTCCTTCGGGAAAAAAATATATCCGCAAGAGTCCCAAGAAAATAGTTTAATATTTCTGGTTTTAAAATTACTCACATCTAACTATAATAAATGAAGTAAATAATTATGTATCCTTCTTCCGCAATGAATTATGCGATGCAGATGGCGCGCTTCACCTTAGCCATAAAAGACCCATCATGAGAAGAATGATTGTGAAATCCATCCCACACTTGAAAGAAAAGCACTTTAATTTGTTGCCGCACTAATAGTAATGAATAATGAATAAGTAAGTAATAGTATATGTTTATTTTCATTTCATTTTTCGAATTGTTGTGATTTCACGAAGATTCCGTTGTAAAATCTTTTCCGCTTATAATCTGATATACTATGTTATTGTTTTAAATGATATTGAGTCTGCATCTACTGATTCAAATATAATACTCCCTCCGTTCCTTATTATAAGAGACAAATAACCGAAGTACGTTGATCAAAAAAACAGTTAAAATTAGTTAAAAACAATTAATGTGTAAAAAGTATAATTTTTTTTCCAAAAATGCCCTCATTAATAAGGAGAGAGAGCATGAGAGAGAACAATTAAATTATTAAAAAAAGAGAAGTGGGAGGGAGAGAGAGTGTGAGTTGGAGATAATAAATATGGGTAAAATAGTAAATCAACACAAAAAAGTAGAGACAACTTGTAAGTGTTTCTTATATATAGGAACATGCTATAAGTATCAAATGTCTCTTATAATAAGGAACGGAGGGAGTAGTATCTTGTAATATTAATATAAGTATGAAAAGGGATGCCTTGCGTACATGAAAAAATAAAATTTGTTTAACTCGAAAGATTTTTTTATTATTTTTCAAAAGAGAAAACCCGGCATATACTGGCATTATTTTCATTTCTTTCATCATTTTAAATAAGGAAAATAGGAAAAGTAAGCTTTCACTTTAGGACAGGGAACGCAATCGCTATTCGCCGAGTCTGATGTAATTGGCCCAAGACAAAAAAAGAAAAGAAAACTACATGATCGATGAGGAACAGAGGGAGTTCAGCAAAATCATAGCTTATAAATGTAACCATCATTCAGACTAATGCAACCAAAGTTATTTTTTCGCACGAAAGCATATGCTTAACGTATAATTCGGAATATTCTGTTTATTGATGCACAGACTGAGGGCGAATTAAGAAATACCTTTCTGTTTTCATGCAGTCTGTCCAGAATCAGGGTAGAATTTTTCAAAAACGCCTTTTCGATGGTATTTTGTTCATCAGTTCTGTTGAAGGGCAGACATCAGTAACTCAACCTAACGACAAAGTGATGAAAAGCAAGACGGGGCTTGAGACGTGGTGAAAATGGGCCGATAGGTGATGAACAATTACAAGTCAGAGAGCATTGTCTCAGAGGGGTAGAGCAAAACTTCATTGATTGTCTTGTCATATCACCAAACACTCCTAACGCTGCATCTTATTACAAGGAAATGTGCCCCCTCCCAGAACCCCCCCCCCCCCAAAAAAAAAAACAAAACACATACATAGGAAATGTGTCCCTTCCTTTGCTGCTTTTTGGAAATGACATACACCTCTCCTGACTCCTCCACCCCCGTTGCGTTACTTGTATTATTGGGTGCTATTCAAAGGCATTTCTCGTGGTTTAGGTTGCAAAACTCAGTTCACATACCATTCGCTAGGCCATCTAGTTTTGTTGGAATTCAGGAAGGACGTCTGTTTGTGACGTAGGATCCCAAGCAGCCCAAGAAAAGATTAGGCCTCATGAAAAATAGAAGCCTCAAATCTCCGGAGTGAGATCCTTCCTTTTTAGTTTTGTCGAATCGAAAAGGGCCTGAGCTCGTTTTGATGATACTGTTTCTGGTGGGTTTTCCAATGTTGCAATGCTAGAAATACTGGGGCCTGGGCCCTTTTCTAATTTTCTTTTTCAGTAAAACGAAATGGCCAATTCATGGGACCCAAAAAAAAAAGAGAATATGAATCTCATCCGGGGGAAAAAAAAAATACATGAAGGCTGCAAGGACCGTCGATGATCAGAATTCACTATTGCAACTGTTTGGACTTTGGAGCAGCGCCTTGTAGAGCTGAACAAACGTGAATGCGAGAGACACCAGCAATGGAGGATTTGCAGAGTGCTCTAAAGGATCGTAATTTAACGGTTTCCACCGTGGCAGATAAGGGTCGCTGCCTCTTGGCTACGAGAGATTTTTACCCAGGTTTCTCTTTCTCTGTCTTTCTCTGACTACTTTAAAAGATCAACACCGAACTATGGACTATTATCTGGAAAACGATGTTATGGGTGGTGTGACTATTAACTGTGAAATTTTTTGTTAAAAAATGGAGCTTTGCGGTTGCAGGAGACGTGATTATAAGCCAAGAGCCTTATGTGTGTGCGCCAAATAATTCTTCAGCCGAAACAAGGTGTGATGGATGTTTCGCGACAAGTAAACTTAAAAAGTGCTCTGGTTGTCAAGTTGTATGGTATTGTGGAAGTACATGCCAGGTATGGTCTGGTTTGTAGCTGATTCCATTTTTATCGTTACAATCCACTCAGCTCAAGTGCTTGAACTTCACTTCAAGTTGCACAGTATAATTCCTGATGACCAATGATATGATTGTGGCCCCTTTAGCGGACTCAGTTTTGGGGCAATAATACTTTGGGTGGAGGTGTCGGCGTACTTGCCACCTTTTGGGCTGCTTCTTCTTCCTGTCTCCCCCCCCCCCCCCAAAAAAAAAAAACTACTGAATTTTATATTCATATGGCATTGATTATAAAAATAGCTTTGGGTTTAATATATCTGCTCGTTGAGGATATTTTCTTTATGTTCATTAGAGGGCAGAGTGGAAGTTGCATCGTCTTGAATGTGAAGTTCTCTCAAGGCTGGAAAAGGACAAGAGAAAATTTGTCACACCATCCATTCGACTGATGGTAAAACTTTATCTTCGAAGGAAGTTGCAAAGTGAAAAGGTTAAAAAGAATTCCTTAGCTCTCTACCCTGGATTCAGTACAAGCTATTTAGACAGTTAAAGAATTGGTGTCGTCTATGGAACTTTACGTAATTTACAATATAAAAAGAACTTCCAGTGTTGGTTTTATGTACGTGCACATCTTTTATTGTAATATTATGATTTACCGCATCGCACATCTTACCATATGGAGTAATTTGCAATAGGGATATCAAGATAATAGATAAAGAAGACGATATAGATAGTTTAAATTTCATCTATATTGACAATTGGTAAGTTGGTAGATTGTGCTTGCTTTCCTTGTTAATATTTCATTTTCTATCCTAATTTTAGTTGCATTTATGCCTGACATCATTAAGTTGCTACTGAGGATTTGTAATTCTCTTAATATTACACTTTGATACCTTAATAAATTTTTGATGTCTGGGACCATTTAAATTGACATTGAGCAGCCACTAGATGATATTATGAGCTGTTTTATTTCCAGGTTATCCCAAGCACTGCTACAGACAACTATAGCTTGGTGGAGGCATTAGTGGCACGTATCCTTTTGTCATATTTTGTCTTTATGTCTATTGTACTTAACACGGTTCTGTATATGTTTTCTCACATATCAATGATGATTGTTATTTTTGACACACACTTCCATCTAGACATGTCTGACATCAATGAGGGACAGCTGGTTCTGTACGCGCAGATGGCTAATCTTGTAAACTTAATATTACAGTGGCCTGAAATCAACATAAAAGAGATTGCGGAAAATTTTTCCAGGGTACCATGCTTTAACAATCAATATTATCTTATATAATTGTTGGAAGTTGCTCGCATTTGAAATCATGAGTGCTGAAATCCTGTGGACTGAGATTCTGATTATGTGTCCATTGGTGTGAAGTGCTTCTAGATTTCTATAGAGTTGCAGTGTGAATTTGTTAGTTTAGCTTTAAGAATTAGTTAACCCCTTCCACAAGCTATTTCTAATTTGTTTGATGTAGTCTTGATGAGTATTTAAGCAGGATGATGAACCCTCTCCCCAAAAACTAGCAATTGAGGTGGGAGGACCAGCCCACTTAAGCTTCTCATAAACCACCTCATAATATTCAGTGAGAGACTTAAACATCCCATACTGCTGTAATCTCCATCAAATCCCAATAGGTATAATAAATACTATTGTCCATTTTGAAACTTGAGGGTGCCTTATAGCATTAAATAATTAATTTCATTCCGGACCTCATAGGGTGGAAGGTTGTCCAAGAGTAGTAACCAACTCAGGTCCATATTCAAGGCAATTGCACTTGCAATTGCAATTTTTTGTGATTTCCACTTTCAATGTGGTTAAAGCCATGCTTTTCTGAATATGACTTTCTTCTGAGTCCTTCTAAAGTTAGATCCTCCTAATCCTGCAGTTTGCATGTAATGCGCATACCATTTGCGACAGTGAACTGAGACCCTTGGGGACAGGATTGTATCCTGTAATTTCCATAATCAACCACAGGTAGCACTTAATGTATTTAAGTATATGCTGTCATCTTGCTCCTCGTTAGTCTTCTAATTTTGGCTGTATCATCGTATAGTTGCTTGCCCAATTCAGTGTTGGTTTTTGAGGGAAGGTCAGCTGTAGTACGTGCTGTGCAACATATACCCAAAGGTTCGGAGGTAAGTATTTCTTCGAGTGAGTAAGAATAAGAAACTTCTGACATCCAGTTCACTGGGTTACAAAGCTAGCAATGACATTTGGAAGTTCTCATGTGGTGTGAGAAGACAGTTATGAGCTCTTCATTTCACATTAGCCACGTGGCTTGTTTGGGCTTTGCTTGGGTTAATAGAAGCATCTAATGCCTCCATAAACATTTTTATAATGGACTTAATGGGCAAAAGAAGCTACTTTGTAGGTACATCATTGAAAAGATTTTGAAAACGTCTCATGTCCTATAGGTCATTAGAGCATTCCGTTGAACTCTTCATTGTAAATTAAAATTACTTTTAGAGGATAGTAAATTATATTTTTCTTTTCCGCTTCAAGTTCACTACTTACCATAAGCTGCCTGTTGCAAGGTGCTGATAAGTTACATAGAGACTGCTGGGAGCACTATGACTCGGCAGAAGGCTCTCAAAGAGCAGTACCTGTTCACTTGCACCTGTCCCCGCTGTGCTAGAATGGTACTTGCCTGGTTTCTTATGTTGATATATCTTGCTGGCTGCATAGCATGATATATTTGAGTATAATGTTCATTATGCCATTGGCTAATTGGGCTAAGTTAGTTTTTAAGGGACAATCTGATGATATTCGAGAAAGCGCAATTTTGGAAGGATACAGATGCAAGAATGAAAAATGCTATGGTTTCTTGATGCGTACTAATGGTATGTGGTTTTATGGTACATCCCCACTTTTATAAACAGGGTGAAGGTTGAGTTCAGTGATTAGATACCTGCCAGGTGTTATTGTATGACTACTATCAGTAGGTCTAATTTCTTTATCTGTCCATCTGAAGATGGAAGAGGATTCCAATGCCAAGAATGTGGACTAGTCAGGGACATGGAAGAGATAAAGTTGATTGCAACGGAAGTAAAATCACTAACTGAAGATAAAGCTTCTAAACTTGATCCAACTGGCAGTATCCTTTAATATTTCTGCTCATAACTTATAACTGCAATAGCTACGAACTGAACTGTTCTCCATTGCAATACAATCTTATCCCTTTTGGTGTGCGTTCGCTTGATAAACTTTATCCATAAGCTACAAAATTGATCCGAAGTTCATGGCCGCTGTCAAATCCTTGATTAATAGTAGATTATCAGGATGCTGTTGCTGCATACAAAATAATTGAGAAATTGCAATCAGAATTATGCCATCCCTTTTCAATCAGCTTGATGCAAACTCGAGAAAAGCTTTTGAAGGTTGGTTCCTCTTTCTGGCTTTCTTCATGTCATGTCATTTCTCCTTACTAATATATTTAACTTTATGATAGTGAACTGTCTTACTAATGTTCTACTTAGTCTGATGTCTTTGCATGTTTGTTTACCGCATTATAGATTTTTTTTTTGGGGGACTTTTTAGGTACAAGTAAATGCGTTTTCTTGAGGTTGACTTTGAGTAAATGTCTTGCCAAATATGGGTAATTTTTGAAAGAATGCCTAGTAATCATCACGGGAAATTAGAGGATAATTGCGCATGGAATGTGTACAATTTGTCGAAGTAACCTTCTGCTTTAGATGCTTGCAGAAGAAGCCTTATAAATTTTACTGGCAAGGAGTTTCCTGACCTTTATATATCACCAGTTTGTATGGCTAACCTTATTTCTTCATTTTTCCCTCTTGATAGACCAAAACATCATTTATCAAGTAAAACTAGACTTTTCTTTTTCTCTTGTATTTGCTTCAACATGGCGGACTTCTTCCTCTGTGCCACATGAATGATGTAGAAAATGATATTTCTCTGAGATTATTTTATATTTTATATTCTGAAGGTTACATAGAGGTAACATCATGCTGTCCTTTTCAGTTATTGATGGAGGTGGAACATTGGAGAGAAGCTCTGGCATACTGCAAATTGACCTTACCAGTCTATCAAAGTATGTCATACTGCAATATGAATTCTCAGAAAATGGCATGAATATTAAGCTTCCTCACCATTCATTGCATTGGTAAATTCAGTTATTGATTGGTTTGATGATCTGACTGTTGTAAGATTATGTTCAACTTGCTATTATCCGTGTTGCTTTAAGTCATACCAATTGGTTTGTCATAATACATTCAATGGGTGAGTATTCCATATTCCTCTAGTTGGACGAAACTAATTAAGGAGTTTTGGAGGGAAAGCCAATGTAAACTACTAGGAACCTACCCTTGGAATATTTTTTTTCCCCTCACGACGACAATTTGCTTAAAATAATTGACAAAATATTTGGACTCTTGGAGAACTATGAGGGCTGCAAAATGTCTAAAACCGACATGCAGGAATGAGAAATGCTATAATTTTACTTCAGCATTGCAGTCTTGGATTGGATATGGCCCTAGAATATTGGTATAAATAGAAAGGAATTATAAGATATCTTCAAGTCATTTTCTGGGAGAGTTTTAGATCGTTCAAACTACCTGGAATTGTACATCGGGTATATACTCGTGTTGAAGGTTCCAATAATACTAACTAGCAGTTTGCTAGATGGGAAAATGAATTGTTAAAAGCATAGGACAATGATATGCGAGTTCCTAAAGCATAGAAAACCAGAAATTCCTAATAACAAGTTCAGTTTGTCGATTCACTGTAGATCTAAAACCCCCTGCTCTTATTCAGTTTGAGCTGCAAAATCCACACATGCTGCTGATGTCTAGTCCTGGACTTTCTATTCTATTACAGAGTTTATCCAGCAGTTCATCCATTGCTTGGTTTGCAATATTATACTTGTGGAAAGCTTGAATGGTAAGAATATTCCAATTACAGTCTTAGTGGATTTTAATCTTGAAATTCATTTTCTTCTTAGAGAGGCTTTTGCATGAACAATTAAAAAAAGAAAGAGAAAAAGGAAGACCATTCACTTGAAGATCATGTAGAAGTGTCTGCCATTTCTATATGCATAACATGTGATAGATCACATATTGACCTAAAACATCGAAGAAACCATGATTGGTCTATAATTCTAGTAGTTGCTGGTCTCCAATGGATTTGAAATGATAGTGTTGATACAGGTATATGGGGGACA